AACTAAGTTATCTGTACGGCACACCCGGTCGCCCCATAACGTTTTGTCAGCAGACCTATTTCGACTCCGTGTTACTTTCGGCAGCTCCTTTTCTGTTGTGCCGTGTTGCCCTGCTCCCTGCAGAAGGTTAGTACTAAATACAGGCAGGTCTTCACGTCTTATGTCATGTAACTTGTATAAAGGTGGAGTACAAAAAAAAGCGTCATTCGAATAGATTCAAGTCAAACTTCTGAAATGTTTTATTTATTCCTGTTGTTCGGTAACCTAATCAAGGTGTTTTTCGAGGTTAATCCTAAAGAAAAAAAAATCGAGGGCAGTAGTTGTGTAATTTCCTCTACGCAAGACGAAATAACGCAGTTTCGTTAAAATAATCGGTGTCCATGTACCATTGTCGATTTACTATTACTCATTTTTCAAGGAGCAAAATGTGAATTTTCTGTTGGCTTTTTAATTGGCAAAAACGCTTTGCATTTACAGCAGTCCCAGTATCAAATAAAGCCTGGCAACACATTGCCTCTCCAGTCGAAAGGAGGAGCAGTAAATGGCGAGATTATATATGCAGCAGCGTATTGAAACTGCACAGAGGTGAAAAGACAAGACAGTATGTTCTCCTCTGTCGCTAGTTCAAGCCAGAACAGACATATATCGGGTAACTGAGTCGCGTATGTATATATACTGTATGTGAAAGTGCGCCGATGAAGGTAACTGCTTTTTCTTTTCCATGCCCGCATCATGAGCGCTGGTGTGTTTTTTCCAGGCTAGTTTAATTCATCATGTCTGTCGACTGGATTGGATTTGGATACGCTGCCCTTGTAACTTCGGGAGGAATCATCGGTTATGTGAAAGCAGGTGAAGTGATGATTGGATGTATGAACCTATTATATACAGTACGGATGTGCATGTAGTTAAACTAGCTATCTCTTAGTGAAGTGTTTTCAAGTTCGGAAATATCGGACGGGGTGCTGACAACGTACAGTAACGTAGGTTACTGAGCTCTTTTCAGCAGAAGAGTTATACGGATAATAGAAAAAAAAACAGTCTGTACTGCTGCAGTGAACAAGGAGGAAACTAACTGGCGCAGTCTGGACACAGGGCTGCAGGGGGACGTCAGGCTGCTTTAGAATAGGAGCTCATAGAACTGGTTCGTTTTGTGCCACTGGCCAAAATGGTTGCATATAGGCTGCTAAGTTTTTTTTTAAAAAATCAATGTTTAATGTAATTCTTTACACTTTAGCATGATATATGAACATATTTATATAATCGATTGCTACATCATTTTAATTATTAACATCATTTAAAGTAAAGGAGTCTTCTCATCTTAAGTAAAGAAGTCTGTTGCCTCAAATGCATCAGTTAGGCACTTTGAAATGTCAATCAATAAAATAGTAAATAATCGATTGTGTCTATGTGTGGCAGGCCCTGCTTCTTGACATGGCACATTTTAAACGCACAACTTTAAATCATCACTCAGTAGAGGCCTGAAACACATGTATTGCTCCAACAGCTTATCGATTCGTTTACATAATTAAGAAATCCGCAGAAACTAAAGGCCTCGTCTTTAGAGGCTTGTCGGTAGATCTCGCACAACTGTCTCACAACCCCTTGAAGAAATAGGGATATAAATTGCAAAATTGCCTGGTCGGTCAAGACTTTGCTGAGATGGTGGAGAGCTGAGAGACACTGGGTACATTTCCAGTGACAGTGCCTGTCTCTCCAGGCAGCGTTCCTTCCTTGGCTGCTGGTCTGGTCTTCGGAGGCCTGGCAGGGCTGGGGGCATACCAGATGTCACACAATCCAAAGAATGTCTGGATTTCTCTAGGTAAGAAACATCCGGCCTACGTCTGCTTTTTATGGAATTGGGAACTGATCTTAAAAACACTACCTATTAGTGCAAAACCATCAACACATTTTTTTTTGCGCTGTCTGTTGGGATTAATTTTTGAGTCAACGTTTGGTGAATACACGTGCCTGATACAAAGATTAATATGCCGGGAAGCATTAAAAATGTAGTGTTTGCATTCTTACAACAAAAGACGTCTTCTGTATTGGGAAAAAATACATCTATTAAAAGGCGAGTAAGATGATTTGCAAAATATATACACTATTGAGTATATAAATGTTACCCAAATCTGGTTTATTTACCATACTTTACATAGTTGGTTACACAATATTCCCTTAAATTTACATGTCTTTACAAAGTTACAGATTAAATGTATATGCAGTGTGAAACCATCAGGATCCTGCTCTTCAGGGAGAGATCTTATTTCCCCTATTCACAGGAATTTAATCTCTTTAAAAAAATCAACCTGTTTGAGACAACAGTAAAACTGGGAATTAAGGACGTAGTATTTTTGGAGTTTTTCTTATTTAAGCTTTAGGTTCTTCTAATCTGGTCATAGGGTGCCAGAAAGTCCTTAAGTGGATCAATTGTCATTTTAAATAAACATGATTATTGTGCTTTAGCCATTGATCAAAGGTGTGTCTAGGACTGGGGTGGCCGATTGCTGCACCACATGCTGAAGGTGTCTTAGAAAAATCTTATGGTTAAAGTCTGGTTTACAGTGAAATGTGCAACCAGTGACAAGGCAGCGCTACTGCTTCAGTAATGAAGCTCTTCTGTATTCTTGCTTGATAGCTGCATCAGGGACCTTGGCAGGAGTGATGGGGATGAGATTTTACAATTCTGGGAAGTTCATGCCTGCTGGGCTCATTGCAGGGGCAAGGTGAGTCATTGCAGTATAGCAATTGCTATTAATCAACATCGCTAATGCATTGATCGTGGACAAAGGAAAGGGAAGTGTTAGCTCTATGAAGTCTGCATCTGTTCTGCAACTATAGTTGGATCTTTACTGTGACAGTAGAACATTATTTTTAAGTTGACTTGCTTCACTTTGCTTCTCTTAGTGGAGGTGTAGCTGCACGTGCGAAAATAAAACATGTTTCTCACACAAACGCTGGGCAGCGCACTGTGGGAGATTGCACTGTGCCAGTGCTGTGCCTTTTATTCTGTAGCTCTGAAACATGTTTCTGTTCCACAAATCAGACGAGACTTTAGCCTGCTCCACGATCGAAAGTGTCACCCATAAAGTCCGGAAAGTCACAGACGCATAGATAAGAGCATATCGCTTGAACGCAGCTTTCAGCTACCTTGTAGAGTGTTAACAGTTAATGCAGGGCTCCCCGGTCCAGCTCCTGGTAGTTTGTGTTCCTACCCAGCTCCGAGTATCACAATTGAACCCCCGTGGATTTAGTTATAGGACTGATATGAGCTGTTTGACTTGGCCACCCCACATGTTGAATGTTGCATTTTAAATATTTCATGTCTTAAGATAAAATCACCTGCAAATATTCCAAAAAAGCAACTTGTTAGTTCAGTGGAGGCTTCCGTCTGATAACTAAGTTTAGCGGGAGTGAAAATCGGGAGGTGTGTAGGCCTCTGAGACCAGGATTGGGCCTCCCTGAGCTGACGGGAGTGATGTGTTTGTGAACAAGATGCGGTTTATGCAGTAGTACAAGTTTTCATCCAGTCTGAAGGCGATGCAAGTTCATATACAGTATATTCAGAAGGATGAATATATATTCTCAATATTCTAAAATATTTTTTTTTCCTTCTACAGTCTTCTAATGCTGGGGAGAATTGGTATGAAGATGTTGCAGAAACCTCATGAACCGTAGTGACAGTTCCAGTTACAGGCAGACATTAAAAATGTATAAATGTGCATTTGTTTTTTTTAAAAAAAAGTAAAATCGTGGTTTGCTGGGTCCGGTTCAGACACTGTGAAGACGAATGAACTTTGTAAAAATGTTGAATAAAAAGCTCAAGGTTGCCCAGTTTCTTATCAGTGAAATCTCTGGAAGGAGGTGGTACCAGAAATCCTGGTTTGCTCTGTTGTCATGCGCAGTACACACTGACTTGTTTTTTGCAGTCGCATTTGTACCCCGTTAATTAAAGCTAGTAAGTCCAAGAGGTAAGAGAAAGCCATAATTCTTTGGTGTCAATTCAAGCCATTCTGTATAAAGAGCAGTAATGTCAGATACGGTCTCATTGTATATTCGTTGACAGATATATAAATCAGTATTTTTCATTCATCCTGAGTTGTCGGGACTTCCGAACTGCTCCAGATTGTAGTTTGTTTTTTTACAGCTCCTATCACGACGGGCCTTTGAAGAAATTAAAATGTTTCATATTTAAAATGTATGAATATGTGAAGGGCACATTCTTTCTGAAGGTGGGAAGACATCAGTGATGAAAACTTGAAAACTAGATTCCACCTTTGCCTATACTACTGCTTTTTATTCAGCTCATACCGATTAAAACGGACTCTGTGATTATCACAAGTTACACGCTGTGCTTAGTTCATCATGGAGGTGTCAGTCCTGACTCAGTTGGCACTGTAAGTGTATTAGACATTGTATTGTATATTATTTTGCAAAACTGAGAATGAGAGCCACTTTGGCACACAGAACAGCTCTGTTATGTTGTCAAAGCCAATATCAGTGTTTCTTTCAGGCTGGATAATATCCGTGAAGTAGTTACCTACTGTCCTACTCCAAAGGACCTGTATAGGCTGAATGGGCTTCTCTCATTTACAAACATTCATGTACTCTTGGGCAGTACAGGAACTGTTAAAACACAATTACTAAAATGCATCTCCTCTTACCATATGAATATTGTTTCAAAAGATTTGGTGAAAATTCTTAAAACAAATGCTAGTTTATTTACCAGTAGGTTTTGTACACAGTGCTTAGTAACATGAACAATATTTTAATGAAAATAAATATTCGAAAATAGCATTCTGTATGAATCATATAATGAACAATTGTCATTTTTATTACTATAGAAAGAAATAAAAAGAATACACCTTAAAGATCAATAGTAGCTATGTATAAACAAAACATGGCATTTTTAATTAAAAAAACTAATACAATTTTAAGGTTTTCCATGCACAGCTATACACCTTTTCTTAATGTATGAAGTTTACAATACATTTCAGTTAAACTGACAGAATAGATAAAAATAGGGATCTAGTACAATAAAAATGTCTACCTTTAGTCTCATAGAGTCTCACATTCTGTTCCATATTCGTTCATTTTCCCATGAACAAAGAGAAGGATGCAGTACAGTAAATGTGGTCTTACCATCTGCCTTACAGCCCCTCACTCTCCACCCCACAAAAACAGCAACATGGACAAATGAATAAAATCATGTGAAACAGACAGCAGGGGTCAGATTGAGAACCTAATCAAGAATAATAAAAGCACATAAAAGAACCTCTTCTTATGGTGTTATCTGGCATTTAATTAAACATTTAATGTAAAGTTTTCTCACTGTTTTATTATAGAACTTACATCAAAGTTAAACAGAGGTCTGTTAAAAACCTTTTTAAGATTATTTGAAAATGTGTAGAGAAGTGTGTTACTAAGGTATATGCAAACCTATGTTTTTTTACCAAAACTAAAAGGAAAGTACTGTTACTTTCATTTGCATCTAAGAGTGCATGAATGTCATTATCAAATACTGTAATAGTGCAAACAATTTTTTTCCTAAATCAGTGGCAAAATTTAAAAATGAGTAATGTGTAGTTCATTAACCCTTGACTCGGCAGCACACATCTAAAACAGGGTGTTCTTGACACTCAGATCAAGACTACATGTAATTTAAAGAAATCTCCCTGATGTGAAAGACGAGTGCAGTATACATAGTACAGTCCATGACAGAATCCAAATTAGAATAGACAAAAATCATTTATTCCAACTTTCATACAATTTGGTGACGTGAATGCAATTGTAAAGGCTTAATCCCTTAATGCCTCCTGCTGGACCATTCGGGTCTCATGGCGCAGTCTCGGGTCAAGCACAACAGTCACGTAGCTCAGCTGAAACCCTGTGCTACCGATGGCCTCCATATTTGGCTGCCCAGTCCACCCTGCCATGCACTGGCTGAACAGCGGGTGCACGAGCCAGAAGACTACCGGAATTCTTTCCCGGTGTGTGGAAGCTTGATCCGGACATTTGTGATCTAGCTGCTTTGCTCTTCCATCCTTCATAATCTGCAAAATGAAGGGGAAAACTTAAATATATATACGGGCACGTGCTGTACGTGAGTTGAGTTTAATGACACCAAAGGAAACACAACGGACTCGTGCTGTTTGCAAAGTACGGTCATCAAAAAGAAATCTTTTGATTCCCAAAGTGCAGCAGACATCACAACACCAGGGATAAGATGGGACAATAAACTGGGAGTACAGGAATAAATGTGAGTTTCTGGGAAAGGGAACTGAAGTCAAATTTGCTTCTGCATGTATAATGCCAACTGCTTTGTGCGCTAAATGATGGGAGACCGTTGTCCGTATTCCCCAATCACTGTCTTTTAAAGAACAGTGTTTATTATACTTGCAGTGTCTTTCTTGGTGCTTGAGAGGGGAAACAAAAAGTTGAAGTGGGAAGTTAAATTGGCTCATGGATGGAGGAACAAGTGAATGTTAATTCCACACTGAAAAGTAAAATGTTTTAAATGAACATTTTTCTGGATCTGAAACATGGGATGTATTGTTTTCTACTTTTTAGCATGGAATTAACCCATTTGGTCCAAAAATAGTTTCTTTGGTGTTTTACCTTCATTAGCTTCAATCATGGCTTTAGTGGAAGAAGGCTTTAGCTTGGGGTTTTTCAGTTTATCATTCTTACTATCGGCAGTGGTAGAAAGGTCTACTAGCAG